AATTGCTTAACTTTTTTACCTGTCCAATTTTATCTCGATATTAGAAAATAAAATTAATGTTTGCAACGATTCAACACATTTATAACATATAATAATTAGAATCTCATTAATATGATTGCTCCGATTTTTTCATATGGCTAATGTTATTTTGATTTGCGTCAAAAGCGCTCTATAATCGCGAATAATTGTCGGGAGTGACTGTTCCAGGGAAAGAGAAGGATATACATTCAGAAACGCTAGAGATGGAGGCAACGATACGGTCGAGGACGAGACCCATCCTCGCTTATAGCCGTAGAGCTTAATTACGCATCAACGCCGTTTTCGGGGTAGTTAAGGGGGTAGGTGGCGGATAGCGTTTGACAGGAGGGTGGCAGAATTGTATCGTGCTCAGCGAAGTTTTAATCGTGTCGCTCATTAAGGCCGGCAACTACACACGTCGCCGATCTCCACCCCGTTAATCCATTATAATTTAGCGTGAGTTTCTCCCGACGGACGACGCCGACGACGACGACGACGACGACGATGACGAGGACGTGAATATGAATGCGGCAACTGATGCGCCGACGCTCGGTGCAGTTTGCCACAGCAATAGCGAAATGTTTATATAACGTTCCGCTGACGAAAATTAATCGTTGGAGAGCAACATCAACGTCCCGTAAACAAACGGCGTCCCTTGCAAGCGAAGTTAACGTAGCGAAAGTCGTCGTGAGAATCTGACGAGATGCGAAGCGCCGCGTACCTATTTGTTCTATTTACTTATCGGGCGTTTCTCCCTTTCCGAGTTCGTAGTTTTGCGGAAAAGAAAAAGGAAAAAGAAGAAAATGAGAGAGAGAGAGAGAGAGAGAGAGAGAAAAAGAGAAAGAGAAAGAGAGGGAGAAAAAACTTAGTCTGGTCAATTAATCTGGCTCACAGATTAGGCCGATTTTCATTTCAAGTTTACAGCATACCATATACGTATATACGACCATGCGATTCACGTGGGGATTCGGAGACTCGGGACAGGGAATGAAAATCGAATGAGGGAGGAAATCAAGTGGCATTCACACGATAAATTCTTCAGCTCGATGTCCTTTCCCCGCGAACGCGCGCCTGCTGCTGCACATACACGTCGCTGATGCGTGTGTCGGCCGCGATGTTACGCGCTGCAGTAGGTAGGCTAGCCGCCGTTTTCCCTCCTCCGCGTATAGCGTGCGAGCGCGGTGCGAATCCGATTAAGGCGCATTTTCCCCGGGCGGATCGACAGACAGACGCCTGCATTTCGATGCTGCCGTGGCTGCGATTCCAGGCTAACTAGCTGACGTGACACGTATATAGCTCGGCCACGTTCAAACCGTTATGCAACCCAGTTTCAGAAGTTCAGGAGGGAGGACGAGGCACGAGCGTTCGTCGGACAATGGTGCAACCCGAGCTACGTGGAGATTGCGATTAATCTTCTCAATTTATCCTACTTACCCTTCGCCCTCCCCCGCCCACTTCCCGTCCCGATCGACCGATGAAATACGCAAGACGCTACGACGAAAAGCCGAAGGGTGGAGGGGGGAAGAGGGGAAAGGGAGAAGAAAAATTTCTGCTCGGTTTCCAAAATTATTCTACGAGATTTATCCCGAGTGATCCCGAGTCACATTTATCCGCCGCGTATCACGGTTTATAATTTCATAATAAAGTTTTAATTAAATAGACGCCCACAAACGGCATCTTAATGATTTCCAATTTACTGAAGTCTTTAATTATTAATTATTAAAACGACGCAGTTTCACAAATTTTGTAGAATATCTCTAAGCTTTAAACGATTTTAATAATCATCGTAGTCCTCGTCACGTGTTACGTGTCGTTCTCAATAAATCTTATCTATTTCGTCATGTTTCTCTCTTTCCGAGTGTTCATATAACGAACGATGTAATGACGTCTGGAGCATCGAAAAAAATTCTTCCGTTAACTTCGATATCTCGACAATTTGTCCACAAATGTCGCAAAAACGATAACGCGTCTAAACAAGTCGGAAGGTTTACAATTAATCGATAATTAGTCTGCGTAGTATATTTCTGTTTGACGTAGCGTGCTATGTCTGGCATAGCTCAATGTATGTACATTTCGATAAAGTGCCGCGAATGTTTCTCCAAAAGCTCGCTCCGATACGGATCATCGATATTATTTTGCATTCGTAATTGCCTAACGATTGTTATGCGAATGGCATATAAACATTCGCCAAATCCCGGCGTCTTATTCAGACTTATAAGTGATTACTGATTTTATCGTATCGTACATTTCCCTATTTTCTATAAATAACGAGATGCAAGAGCTTAAATACACAAGCGACAGGGAGAAATTACGACTGGTGCTTAAGGTGTTATCACGCTATTTGAAAAATGCGTCACATCACATGCGAGGATTGTCGACAAAAACGGAGTCATAAAGATTTTAATTAAGCCCGTGCCTTAGGCGCGTTCTGATAAAACAGTGATTAAGATTACAACAACGAGAAATGAAGCATGGAAAATTATAAGCCGCATAAACACACATCACGCGTACACATTAAGATCAAATTAGAAAGAAATAATTAGTCTTTTCTATCCAATTTGCCATTCCAATCGATAGTAAGTGAAATCTTTGTTCTTCAATGTTTTTTGCATGCTCTTGATTAAAAGAACACAACAAAAAAAATGTTATACATACATGATCGATAAATTATATATCACAAAGATACCATATTGATGATTTGTACAAACGGCAATTTAATTTCTTGTCGTCGCACGAATGCGAGATTTAAAACAGTCCCGCGAGCACACAAAGAAAAAACAAGAAAAATATACCGCTCGGTTGTCACGGTGACGGATGTCCCGTGAAATTGCAATTTGCACGCGTTTTCAACGAGCCGCGCCGCGCGTCAGATCCATTCGAATAATACCCGGCGTAAACGTTACGCTTTATAAAACGGGCCAGAGATTCCAAAATGCGGCCGAATGACGGGAGCTATTGTTCGTTTAAATTAAATTCGAGCAAATCTCACGGTCGCGGAGCCCGCACCGCGTGATATTTGAGGCTTAATTGCTAAGAGATGATAAGCCCCGAAATTCGTCGTTCGGAAGGATGGGGTGGGGGGAGGTTTATCGTTAAAATAAAGACCGGGGCTTCCGAGAAACATCGCCTGGCGTACTGAATACACATTCTCTGGAGTCATTAGCACGCTTACTTCCTTTTATCGCATCGTCGTAAATCAGCGCGTGTCTCAGGCCGAAGAGTTTCGCCGGGCAGAATACGCGCGGTCGCGACCGCGAAAGAAAAAAAAAAACAGCCTCGCCGCCGGTTTTTCTCGGCCGATCGATCGTCGATATAATACACTTACGTCAAGATACGCCCGTGTGCTCTGAAGGCAACCTCGCCTTCGGCCGTGGTGAACGCGCGGACGTGGTATCGCGCCACCGTTGTCAACTTCGCTCATCGCCGGCTAGCCTTGCACTAAACCGCTCATTTAGTCCGTTAACCGCCGCGATAACAAAATACTCGCGGGCGAGTTACGCTGGTGGTACGCGTTTTAGAGGGCCTGCCCGGATTCATCAGGGCACACACGCGCGGCACTCACGGCCGGCAATTCTTTGCCACTTTACCGCGCGACCCATTAACGATGCCCCCAGTTATTCTTCTGTAGAAACGCTGGATTTACGTAATCCACCGCGAGAGAAGTAACTAACGCAGAAGCAGCTAACGCACCAATTTTATACGTCGGCCCTAACCAATTTTCTTTCTTTTAATGCCTTCTGCCTTTTTTTATATTTTCCAGAATTAACTAATCTTACAATAGAATTTTCTTCGGGTATTTAAGTTAAAAACAGATTTTAATAAAGTGAAATCAAATTTTTTTTCAGTATTTTGTCGCAATGTAAAATTGCAGAATTGCTTTTGTTTTATAAAAAAAGGATAGTGTATCTCTATAATATAACGTATGCCTAAGTAAAGAAATTTTTAAGTTTTCAAAGCAAGGTTGGTTTTCAAGTTCGTGACTCTTCCGATATTAAGCATCGTTTCGTGTGTATAATTACGTTACGTACGTGACCACTTTGTGATCATTTTCGATATGTATTGGAAAATTTTAATGGCATTGACATTAACATTTTTGTGATAACAGTAAACGTTGTTGAAAATAAGGCTTTAAGCTACGTAAGTAAACCTAATGACCTCGATATTGGAAGAGGCGTTCATTGTATGAAACTCACGAAGATGGAGATAACGTAATGAAACTAACTAGCTTGGTTTGACCACAATTAACTGACCCAAGCACGATATAACATTTAATGTAGAGTCGACCGTTCACGTGGCTGTTTACACCGCCGTCGTGCGTGTATGCGCGCGTACGCAGTGGAATTATATGGAAATTCACTGCTAAAAGGAGATTACTCGGCAAATCAGTCGCGCGGAGCAATTAAATGACGTTAAAATTATGCAAACATTTCAGCGAATACAAACGTTATGTAAACTACGGAGATACGCGCTGGCACATAATTTATTGCTACATGTTCACTTCCTTCGACGCGCGAACTTCAAATGGAAAGTTAGAAATGTATCTCTGGCGGATCCAATTTGCGAAATCCTTCGATACCATTCACGCTGCATTATGCCGCAATGTCGCCAGCGCGTCTGACTATAAAGCCGCAAGTTTCACTGAACGAGAGAGAGCCGAGATCGCGGCGGATTGCTTCCGCGCAACCACCTCGGGAAGGCTTGACTTACCTGCGTTCGACAAAGGATCGAACGTGTCGATTTCGATTCGCTGACGCTCGATCGAACAATTCCCGCGAGCGAAATTCCCACCGTGTAAAAATCATTCCGAGTTCGACGAGTCCAAGGATGGTTGAGTATAGTAGTCCGGGCCATCCCCTGCCCCTCCTCGTGCAGCTCGCCGAGGGGGTGGAGAATCTGGCGGGTGGTATAAATTTTCTGAGGTTGCGCATCGTGCTCGTCGGAGCCTGAAACCTCGCGGTGGTGCCCAAGCACGAAGCAGAGCGCAAGTGGTGCCGAAGGAAACCGGTGGTCCTCCGCCCGCCGCCGCGCAGGATCCCCGTCCGCGCGCGTACATACGCGACGACGGTTCAGTGTCGGCGGTCCCGTGTTTCGGCGCGCGAGTGCACTTGGCTCGGGGCGGTAGCGGCGATCGTACGAGGGCGCCGGGGTGAGTTTGAAATTCGTCGACCCGACGATCGAGTGATACCTGCGTTGATTCCTACGGCGCCTATTTGTATACGCGCCGCAACTAGAATAGAAAAAAATACCACGGTAATGTAAACGGTTCGTCACATTGTATAGTTTTCCACAATTGTAGTTTTTCACTTGAGTTTATTTCGCTTTTACGTGCTCCGCTTGGCGCGCAATATAGATATCTTTAATGTGAGTATATATCTGTAGAAGATGTCAATAGCAGATAGATGTATCTGCTAATATAATTAGTGAAATATATATAGATATAAAGAGTTAATACATATTTTAACATCTTTTACATCATTAAATAATAGCTCTTTTTTAATTATAAGATTATTAAATTATGATTTTTTATGTACACAGCTTCTTGTTCTAATTGATTCTTTATATATAGTTTTTACATAGTTTCTAATTCTAATTATTTTAAATAACTTTATGGATCAATAAGTTTGTAAATTTATCTCATATACGCACACACGCATGCACGAATCTCACGTCCTTCCGTACATGGAATATAAAAATTTTCAGAACTGGAACTACAATCCCGCGATACATATTCATATCTCATTGTTTATTCACAATCCTCTCGCATGTACGTGCATATATGTCGTGCAATTTCTTTTATTTCGCTCAATCCATCTTTTCTCCGACGTTAAACGTTCAATCTTCGTGTGGGAATCTCGTGTGGGAATCTCGTGTGGGAAAAAGGGAATCTCTTCTATGCGTTAATTTTGATTTCAAGTTCTCGAAATTCAAGTTTTCACCTTGAAAAATAATACAGAGTTGTGTGGCAAAGGTGTAATAAATGTAAAAAGGTAATATCACGGAGAGCGTCTTTTCTCTCGCTCGGGTCCTTCGTAATATTTCCGATATCGAATTTGGCGTCTCGCCAAACGGACTAACGATCTCCGTATCGAGAGGATCGTTCTTCCCTGAAAGGACCAAGTACACCGAAGTATCTCGCAAAAGTAGTACTTCTGTAGAAATCACAATAAACGAAAAACGTCGTTTCGTATCTTGGAAAGATATCGCCCGATGCATATCGATCGATCGCTGAAAATGAGAACAACACGTACTTCGCGGGGACTAATTTACGCTTCTCACGCGGGAGGATCCGGGAAGACGAGAAACGCTACTTTTTACATAATTCAATGATGCCGTATCTCCCAGGAAATTGCGAATTGTAGACAGCGGGAGGACTCTCATTGCTCTCGACATTACTAATATTGCACGATGTCGAGTATACGATAGTATGAAAGGACGTATATACGTGTATCCGGAATACGGAGCGTTCCGGAGACCCCCGCGGCTGATTTAATGACAAATTCTTCAACGAACTCTAAATTTATTTTCCCTCGGGGAAAAAATTGGCGTAACTCTCGGGTAGGAAATTAATATCATTCCGCTCGGGAGCTGAAAGGAAAACGAAAAGCGACGCGACTCTAAACACTCGAGGATTCCTTTCAGCGGAGATACGAATTGTACGCTGTTTCGATGATCACAGAACACAAATAATCCGAGGAGCGGTCCTATTGTTAGCGTCGCACGTTTACCGACTGTTATATGATTGCGCTTTTTAATAAACTAAAAGGACTGCAAGGACACGCGGACGAAATAACAACGCTGAAAAATGCCGCGGTGGATTTCGATTCGCAAAAGTGTCGATGTATATAGATCAACCCTCTCGTATCTTTCGTATCTCTTCGAGCGTTTTGGTGGCGTAAAAAAGGCGGAGGCGGAATTGTTTCTTCTCTCGTCGGATTTTCCGGCGTGTATATGATCGTTAAATGATTCCCTTCCGGATAAAGGCGGTCCGGAGTTTCAAAAGAGCGAGGGCGAGAGAGGTACCGGTGGTGTTCCCAGAGGTCGATATTCCCCGTCGAGATAATTTTGCGGAGGGCTTTTCATAATCTCGCTTTCATTCGAGACTCGAACGTCCGGCGTCGAAATGGCCCGGCATGACTAATGAATTCGCCGCCGCCCGCGCCGGGACGAACTTTCGCCGCGCGCGGATCGCCGGCGCGTTGTACCTTATACGTACACACGCCGCGCGCGGCGAGGAAGCACAGAGAGAGAGAGAGAGAGAGAGAGAGAGAGAGAAAGAGAGGGACGGTCCCGCGCCGTGAGAGGGTCGGCGTAACGTCAACATTAATACTCTCTTTCAGCCTTTATACCTTATACCCTTCCAGCTGTCCGCCCACGCGCCGAATTAATGTTTTCGCAGATACGGGCCATTGATTTTACGTCAAATATGGTTACCCGGGGGTTCGGCTATCGGCGCGACCTACGCCGACATTCGACTCGAACTGTCTGTTCGCACACCGTTACCGCGTTAAATCGCCGGCTACCTCGGCCAAATCAGGACAGCGCTATTGGTAAAAAAAAAAAGAAATCGTTCGATCCCCCGAGAATAGAGTTTACGTCCGCGAATTAGAGAGTGATATCGATTTCTTAACTCGATGTCACTTTGTCATAACGAGGAGAAACAGCTGCGTGCTAAGTAGATATTTCTGCCGCGTTTTTACTTGTCTCCCTTCGAGTGAGAGAAAGAAAAAAAAAGCGGACTATTCCGCGCTCTGGATTCCGGAAAGAGAAAATAAAAGCGAATATTAATTGAGGACGAAGTCGGACGGTAGACGCAGGATTCAATCGCGCCGTATAGATTACATCCACTCGACTCCGCGCACGTTCAAACGCCCCTTGCATTCGTCGAATTAATGCGGTGGATTGTGTCCGCTTTCTCTCTCTCTCTCTCTCTCTCTCTCTCTCTCTTGCTCTCTGTCTCTCGATCGGAGAGTCGGGCGGCGAGCATTCCGCAAGCGATAATCAATAAACGCATCATCCGTACGGCACAAATCCCACGATTCCGCGCGGACTAACGTAAATTAACACTGTTAATTAGATGGATCCGTTCTTTTAAAATCCTCCCCTCTACGGGCCTACGGTTGTTGTTGTCGGGAGACGAAAATTGGGTCACGCTCGTTTATTTCTCGTGGGAGGGCATAGAAATAGAATTAAATGGCCGAATTCCGCGGGAGTTTCTTCCCTTACCAAAGCCTCCTTTACAATCTACTATATTCAATGTCCGTATTTAGAGACCCTTGACACAGGTATAATTGCCCGTAATTTCCTGCGGACCGTTTCCTACACGTTTGCACGGTCGCATGAACGATTTCCGCGCGCGTAAGAAATGAAACCCTTTGCTCTACTCGAATGGCCTTTCCCCGCGATCGGATGTAATCGGATCAGAGGCAATTTCCGAACCGTAAGAGAACACGCCCTCGAAAGGAACAACTTTAATTGAATATCCGCGCTTTTGCTGAATAATATTATTTTGTTCTTTTACACGATAACGATGATGGGCTAGTTTGAACTTCGCCCAAGAACGCAATTTACTGAGGGGGGGGTTTCTCCACTCAAACGGTTCAGAAATCAATTTCATCGGGAGGAATAATTCACTGGGATAAAGAACAAAATGGGCGTAATTAAAGTGGAATTACCAAATAATTATCGCCCGCGCGAAGACCTCTCTCTCTCTCTCTCTCTCTCTCTCTCTCTCTCTCTCTCTCCCCCGCGAAGATCCGTATGCCGGAGGAGGTAAACGTCGCCGTCGCGCGTAACCGACAAACTCTTGTGAAGTTTTCTCATTTCGAGTTCGTTAACACGCAAAACCGCCGGCTTACCCAGCGATCCGTCTCAAGTCGCAAGAGTGTCGTCTGATCTCGTCGACGTTTAACGCGTAACATGAATTATGCAGCATTACCATCGGGAACGTGTTGCGTCCGTTAACTTACGTAATTATATGCCCCGGGAGATAGATTTCGAATTGATAATTGCGCCCGATGATATTCCGCGATCGCGACGGAGATAATAATCGGGATCGGTTGTATTGAGCGAAGTGATTGGCATGCGAAATATAAATAAACACGCTGCACACGTACATACGCAGAAGTGGGTTAATAACGTTTGGATCGCGCGCGCGCGATCGCACAATGTGCACACATTCTCGCATAAACACACATAGGTGTATGACATTATATGTATAGGTGACGCACGAAATCCCGCGATTTGCCCAAGGAAACTCAGGAAGTACGCTCGCGTACTTTGCCAGTTGCGCCGCTTATCTATCCAGCCCACGCGCGCGCGATCCCCGAAATTTGATAAAACCGCCCGCCACGTTCACACGCACGTAATCACGCAACCCTATCGTTACTTCCCCCCCCCCCCCGAAAGAAGTATCTCGACCGCCCGCGGTGGAGATACTCCAGATAGATCATATATATCGCGGCACGGCCGAGGGATCTATAGGCGATACCGTGAATTACCACGTAGATCACCCACAAAGATAGGAGCGTCTTCGTTTAGGTCTTCGCGATATAAAGATTTGGAAACGAAAATCAGTTGCAGTGCCAAGGCGTGACAGTGCCCGCGCGAGCACACAAAAGCTGTCCTTCGAGGAATTATTTATAGCTTTATTGAGGATTCCGTGGAAAATTTTACGAGACACTTCAAATGCACTCTCGGACGAAAGTTTCGGCGACGGAACGACACCGGCGGATAATTGCAACTGAAATTTCCTGAAAATGAAACTGCGACACTTTCTCATTAATGCCGTCGGACGAGATGTCGTCTCATTCTACGATTTTCGTCGGCCCCGTGTCCGACCATATGGAGGACCATTTCTACTCGCTTCCTTGAAAGTATAGTTTAACGGCGCCCGGTAATTAGCCTGATATTGAACTCGTAACTTCTCTGACACCTTCGAAAGTTTTCAGATCGCGGAGTGAAGGAAGATGGCTGAGGAATGGTCGAGGTACAAATTGATCTACTTTAATGCACGGGGTCGTGCCGAGCATATTCGCTACATATTCGCCTACGCGGGCATCGACTACATCGACGAGAGGATCTCCAACGATCGCTGGTCCGAGCTTAAGAAGTGTAAGTGCCGGAAGCCCAATTAAAATAATTTACTCGCGCAATTCGAATGTAAATTTGTTGCACCGCGAATCCCAATAAAACTTAATTCACGCAAGTGATTAAATTCCAATCTAATTTCGATTATAATATCAAATTCGCGCTGAGCGGAAATTAATTCAAGGATAATAAAGGAAAATACGCGTCGCTAAGAACAACACGAAATAACTCTAACAACCTTACAATTAATCCGGACCGCGTACGGCGTTCTTACCGATAACTCGAGTGAAGACAAATTGCGCGGAACCTTTCGCCGTCACTTAAGCCCGGCGCTTAAGCACGATCCCGCCGATTGCTTTCTCTTGTTCCCAGCGATGCCTTACGGGATGCTGCCAGTTCTGGAGATAGACGGCAAGCCGATAGCGCAAAGCAACGCCGTGGCGCGTTACCTGGCCCGCGAGCATAATCTCGCGGGCAAGGACGAATGGGAATCGATGCTGTGCGACGTGCTGGTCGATACCTTGGGGGACTTGAAACAATGTAAGTGATACATATGCCCATGTGCAATCCATAACTGTTCCGGAAAGCCGCTCACGACCGTCTATCCCTCTCCGCCCTCGGCCTCCGAATCGATATTCCTTTTCGGTCGCGAGTTTGCCTCGGATTGCGATTTCCCGTTTTTTTGCGAGGGGATCAGGACTACCGTCGACGACCAAAGTTTTCGAATCGCTCTGGCCGCGTCCCGTCGAGTTCGCAAGTTCGCGCGAGCGAGTCAATTGATAGAACCGCTCGACCTCCAGAGACGTGAAAAATCGAAAACGGTCCACCGCGATGTTACCCCGAGATAGAGAGAGAGAGAGAGAGAAAAAGTGCGACGTGAGCGCGATGCTCAATATAAATTTCCGGGAAAAGTCCGGGATGGCGGCTCGACCGTGACGGGTGCGAAAGTAGTTCCGCTTTTCGCTCGTCTGAAAGACACGCGCGATCTCGCGCGACCTATATTTCCCGAGCTCTCCCCCGAGGTCGTCACATAATCGAGCGGACGGCTACCGTCCCGGAAAAGCGTTTCCCGCGAAATCTGACGTGGTGCGTTGCGGATACAGATACCCCAACTGAATCCGCCGCGGGTGTAATCCTCGAGCAATAATACGCGCGGCTCCAATTAGAGCGCTTAATGAGACATTATATACGGGCTAGTATCGGGGATTTAGGAATCTGATCTATTCGGCCGTTCCGGTAAACAGCCTTTGAGAGTTTCGGAATATTTACACGGTGTATATAACGACTTTAATATTGCGACGTCACTTTGACGACGCGCGCTCCTGCACAGCTGCAGGGTGACGAGCCACTAAAACCTTGACGCACGATTTACTTTCCAGTCATCTTTCAATATCGCACGGAGGAGGATCATTTTAAGAAGGAGGAGAAGAAGGCGAAGCTCCTAAAGGAAACAATACCGTTCTATCTGAACAAGTTCGAGCAAACTGTTGCCGAGAACGGTGGCTACGCGGTCGGTTCTACGGTAAAGAGAAATCTCAGTAACGATCTTACTTTTACACGAGTTTGTTTAATTAAGTATAAGTTGAAGCAAAGTAAATCGTGTGTGTGTGTGTGTGTGTGTATGTGTGTGTGTAGAGGATATAAAATCAGTGAAAAGAATATTATATTTACCGTTCTGTTCGACGCTGTCGTCGTTAAAGTCGAATAGAGTGGCATAGGAAGATTAAACGCATTGCACGAATGTCGAGTGTCGCGTATTCAGGACTTTTAATTAAGGGCAGCTCGTTTCAAAAGTATCGCGGAATAAATTAAAAATTTCCGTTTCGATGACAAATCGCACTGCTTGCTTTGCAGACCACGTGGGCGGACTTTGTGTTCACCGTGGCGCTGGAGAACTTTGAGAACATTTTCGGCGCGACCGCCTTAGAGAATTATCCGGCGTTGCGCGGCCTGAAGAAGCGAGTGCACGAAATTTCAGCGATCGCCGACTGGCTGTCACGGCGACCTAATACCGAGTTCTGAAATGTCGCGTCGAACGACGGAAACCGGAAGGCGAGCATCGACGGCATCACAAACAAGTACATATCTGACGCTTGCAGCTCACTGTCCTGCATCGCCGTGATATCGGCGATCGATCCGATATTATCGGATTATTAATCGCGGCGTAACACAACCACGATGCGCTTCGGCGTCCATTCCTTTGCAGCGTACTTTTATTTGGCGTTATATTTACATTTGAGTAAAATTCTCGAAAATAAAGTTCCTTTGTAATTAAGTTCTCTAAATTTTTTCAAACACTGTTTAAACTTCGAGGTCGAATCTTAGATCGTTAATTCGACTCGTCGCGATTCCATTCCCGTTATTTTCTCTCGCGTAAATACGTTTGCTTTGAAAAATGTTAATATTACGCTTATTTTTGAGTGACATTTCATTAGCGCTCACTCATGAAACAAATATACTAGATGCAGGAAAAATTGATATTATATGTATCAGTTTAGACAGAAGAAATGCATGACCTCGCTTATTGTATACGACAAAAAAAATCGTTTTGATCCCTGCAGTTAGTCAGCTTAATTTGTCACATGCGCGAGTTACACGAACTAACATATCGTCGATCCCGGAGATCGTTTGCGACACTCGTTTTCGCACCACTAATATATAGATCAATACGAACCACGTGTGCGTAAGATTATCTGTCGAATGGATGTCCGCAAATGAAGCTTTTGGTCAATGTGTTCATTTATCGTGCGTCGTGTGTGCGTCGTGAGTGGTGGCTACAATGCGACTTCTGTTGCTATCACCGAAAAACAAATGTCGAGATTAAGCGCAAAAAGCGTGATATCCCGAAGCGGGATATCTCATATTTCGCGACTTGTAATTAATCCCCTCCCCCTCCTTTTTTTAAAGCGTCGTCTACAATGAGACTTAATACTTAAGATTTAAGAAAGTTGACCAATCGCACAATCGATTATTCTTCTTAAATGAGATGAATAATCGATTGGTCAATTTTCTTAAATCTTAAGTCTTAATTAGTCTCCATTGTAGACGTCGCTTAAGATGGATCTAACAATAAGTTGAATCGGCAAACGCGAATGAACCCGCTTCAATAAGAACGGAATAGAAAGTCATTTGTTCGTGCCTGTTCAAGTTTGGGTCCATCTTTAGAGATAATATTATTACGATCTCGATTACACAAGATTTCGATACTTTGTAAGATATCGTTCCTCTCCTTGTTTCGCACGAATCATGCAGTCCAGTCAGGATTGAACGCGGTTGTAATACACAGGGTAATATTAAAAAAAGGCGAAGAGCAAGAGAATCTATTGAATATGCGATATAATTCTATGTGTACTTTGTGTATAGAATTTTGCAGTCGAATCGAAGGAAAGTGCAAGAAATGCCGTAATACAGAATGCGGTTAATAAAGATTGATTGTAACGATTCGAAGATTTAAGGGATAATATTGAAGGGATAATTTGTAACGTCCTTTGCTTTTATCGGTAAGATAAGGCGAATTTATAAATGTACTTCATAAGATCTCGATGTACTTCGATAAGATCGTCGTCGTTTGAATCGGGGATAACGAACGAGAGTATATATATATGCGCTTGTAAAATTTATCTTGCCGTTAGAAACGGGACAGCGGGGAATAACGGTAGACTTTTTTGACGTGCTTACGATGAAGGATGATTAAGGACGCTTTGGTGCTTTCGTCGGCGCTTAAACACGTGCCCGCGGCAACATAGTCAATTGTAATTATCAAACGAGGTCTTTAGGCAAGAGAATCTCTGGCTGCGTGTATGTATGTATATGTATTGACGTTACGATGGAAACGTTATATATGTATAATGTTAAGTGTACCGTTAAGTGTTGAGGCTACAGATGATGTAATATATAAATGTTATTGCGGTTAAATTAACACATGGGACAGTATGACTGATAATAATAATGTAATGCAAACTAAGTGCAGATTGATCTTAATTGATCTTAATTGTCGCATACATTTTAATATCAATAACACCTTACCCGTATATAAAAACACGAAAAATTTGCATCGCGCTTACCACTCGGCTGGCTCGCATCGCTGAAATATGCGTTCGCATCAGAAGTCCATTCGTCCATCCCGCGATTGAATTATTTTGTTTCAAAATTCGGGATCGCGACTACAATTGCAGCGATTGTCCACGAATAATTATTTAAGAAAATCTACAAGAACGGAAAATGAGTAGGGAGAGCTATCGCGTATTTTTTATTCGATTGGATTCAAATTAAAATATTTAATTATAATAACAAGAGTTTTTCAGTAATACATTTACCTATATTCCGTATTTTCGCATACATCGCGTTATCTCCATTTCCTGTTTTAATTGTTTTAAGACGCGTGATCGATGATCGTGGTGAGTATCCGCGATTACAAGGAACTCTGGGATAAAAAAACCAGTAACAAGAGTCAGAGATTATTGTATATATTCGTTTTTCAATTTGATTAAGTTTCAATGCTAAATAACTGTTCAGTAATATACCCTTTTTTACGCGACGCTCCGCACACTTTCGCGTTCGTACGCGGCGTCTCCGCCATTTTGCTTTTTGCCGTTCGACTCGAGGAGAATCGAGGCAATCGAAATCTCGAATCTCGAAGGGCGCCGCGATATCGATAGAACGAGAAAGCTTATCGATCAGTACCGACGACTACCGACGTTGAGGTTAGCCAGGTTAGGTTTCTCGGTCGCGTATGCATAGCGCGCTTCGCGATTTCGCGTCGAAGTCGCTGGGTAGCCTCTCGCTCTCCCGAGACGTGTCTCACGATCGGTGGCCCCGATCGCAAATGACAGGTCGTCCCGACTTAGACTGCCGCTGAACAGGAAACATGGCCGCGAACGCGAAGACGGTACTGCCCGAGGAGAGCGAGCTAACCGTTCAGGAGCTGAACGTCAGCTGGCCGGTGCTGCAAACCGCGTCCGTTTACATCGGCAAGGCCTGCGAATGGTGTAACAATGTGAGTTGCAGCTTCAGACAGCCGGACAATCCCGCTGGTTATCCTACCTGTGTTATCGTGCCTCGAGCCGTCCCCCTTCGAGGGATTACATAATGCCCCGAGTCCCTGCAATAACATTTGACATCCACACGCATCTCATTGAAAATAATAATAATAATATGCCTTTAACTATATAATTAAATAATAAATGGATAAACTCTGATCGTGGGCTATCTTGAAATACCCTGTGGAAATTAATCTTTTAATTAAATCTTGTAAAACTCATAAATATATAAGAATCGTTTCTATCTCATAAGATACATCGAGGACATATGTTCTAAAGGAGTCGCCTTGTAATTACAAGAAATTTATTTCCTCAGGAATTTATGTTGTGCAGACAAGAGGAGCGCGACCCGCGTCGCTGTCTCAACGAAGGGAAAGCCGTCACCTCGTGCGCAATGGACGTTCTTAAAAAGATGAAGAAAAATTGCTTGGAAGATTTTAACGCTTACATGTACTGCCTCGAGAGATCAACGGGAAGTTTAGACTTCACTCCGTACGTTACTTTATGTCCTGTTGCATTAATTCTTCATTCGATACTCAGTATCAATTACAATAGTTACAATCATGGCGATTAACGAATGAATTGGTAATTATCATTAGATCAACGATGAGTAAATAATAATATGACTATGTCATAGATGCCGAAAAACGCAAGCTGCCTTGGACGATTGTGTTCGTAAGAATTTGAATATAGAGCGTCCGCCCTACGGATACTTCTGCGAGGCTAAAGTGCATAACACATCGAGGCCGCGGCCACCGAAAGAAGAGCCCATAGTATTTCCAGACCCAACTCCCGGGCTATCACCTGACGTGCCACGTGAGAAATCGAAATACAGCAATCGCTTTTGGTATAAATCCTAAAAAATCTCTCAACAGACAACGCTATAGTATCTTGGTCGCGCTGTACAGATTATATGATGTTCAAGACTCGGGGACGCATCGGGTAATCTAGACAATTATAGGGAAACGGGCGTGTGTAATTTTCGCAGGACGCTTACTTGAACGCACGTAGAACGTAGAAACGTTCATATGAAAACATAGAATTGTACATGTACTGTGAATATAAAGATATTAACAGCAAACTAAGCGATAATTTGCTTGTTACCTTGTACAAATATAAATACAAAGCGTGTAAAGTATACTTTGGTCATCTCAATTGTACATAACGTTTAATGTCATAAAATCCATAATTATCTATACATATATAAAAATATAACCATGTGAAAAGTAAAAGTCTGTTTAAATTAATAATTTAATGTAAAAGTAAATTAAAATAAAATTAATATAAAGGTAAATTAATCAGTTTAGATTAAGGTGGGACAGACTAATAAGGAATAGAGGGACAGTGAGATGAATAATGTAGATGCAGAGTTCGATTGGGGTTTTTCGAAAAAATTATACACTTCATTTGTCATATACGTCACATGACTTGATAACAAAATTGTTAAAAGCAGCATGAGCAAAAATATATCAACACATTCTCGTTTTGGAAGATACATGATAATTAATCAAGACTATTTTAACGATATTACTACGGCATTTTATGTACACGAGATACGCTCAACATCAGCAGTCATTTAAATATGTTCTAAAAACGATAAACATGTAATCTTTAGAAACGCAAATGTACAATACATGACATATGTATCGTAAATGAATATATATGCATGTAATATTCATTTACACATATAAATCACGTATATATAAACTTATCGAAATATATATATATATATATGCAAGATCTTCCTGCAAGAAAGATCACGTTTAAAACCGATTACACGAGGAATGTAACACCGGCATCTACTTAATCCTATGGAGCATAGCCGTCATACGCTGTGGACATAAATACAGATTTCACCGTCGGTTTCTCGTCGCAACTGTTATATTCACCTAGTCTGTTGAATATCAAAGAAGAAATGCACGCGGAATTCTCCGTGCGATCTACAAGTCTTTGTAGAGTATAATCATGTGTTAGCTCCACGTTATATCGTAACCGCTCCAGTTTGCACTCGGTGCTAAATGCACGCGCCTCCCATTATAAAAAAACGTCACCACACCGCGGTATCCTGATCTCGGCACACCGCTCTGTAACACAGAACTTTGGGATAGTACGATTTAAAATAAATTTACGAAATAATCTTAGCGAAAGAATATATTACCCTAAAATCGTCCATTAAACCAAGCAATTTGGTAGTATTTTTAAACGATTGACGGGTGTAGTATGGTATCCGTACTGGGCCAGGGGCAACAATATTCCCGCTTTTCAATTCCGAATAGCTAACCACTGTCGACTGGTACACTTGGTTGACGAAAGCTATATCGTAATTATCCTGAAAGTGAACGTTTATAAAGTATTAATGATATGTAATTGCCAATGACCGTGCAATCTGACGTTCGCTCCCTTACTTTTAATAAATAGGATAGATTCATCTTGGTGAAAGGCACAAATTGTTCATTCAGCTTGATGTACTTCAGGTGTTTCTCAAAGAATAAGCCGCTGAAAGGAACAGAATAAGTTTTAGTGCCGATTAAATTCACTCAAAATGTTTTGATCGATCTCGAATTGTAACATCCATTTGCGCAGTATTTTTAATGTAAAAATAATATATAAATGAAAAATTAGACAGATATGTAAAAGCAAGTACTTGCTGACTCCGAGTTTGCCGAATGTTCTAGTTCGCGAGATTTCCGGGCGGATGCAAGCTCTGTTCTTACGCTGCTCCGGTTGCCTTATCCAATCGTCCCAGTATCTACGTAAACAGATGTGTTAGAAACGCACGACATTATCGATAATAAATTAAGCTACGATAATGAAATACAAAATTCATGCTTACGATTTCGGCCACTTTGGTGCGAGCTCCAGCCATAAATCGCGCGTGAGCATCCAGCCCAAGCCAGGAAAGAAATCTGTCCTATAAAGTAAATGTGACGCATGTTCGTCCACCAAGCCGGCTTTACCGTTGTCGTTCCACGCTGACACACACCATAGAGAGCTATCATTTACTAACAGAGGGTAAGTTCCCAGGAAGTACTCGTAAAAGTCTGGAGCGACGTCCAAGTCATCTGCGTTAAAAATCGTAAGAAATCTTAATCAAACATCTTAGGTCCCTTAGAGATGTGTCGCATTTGTTATGTAATGTATTTGTGCTTAAAACATTTGTGCATAAAGCACAAATATTTGATTGAACAAATATTTGAGATTTGACTACACTAATCGTACCTTCAACTATAATTGCAGTACTATATCCAAGCTTTAGAAATACTTGATTTAACGCCCATTTGTAGTGTCGCGCGATTTTGAAGTATCCTCTGAATTTCTTTTCCTTAGGTGGTATTTCAATGTCGGACTGATCAGGTTGCTGTCGAGTGTGATCGTAAAGATTGTAATAATTCCGTCACGGAAATACAAATTAAAACGTAATTTTATCGAAAGTGAGAGAAATCAAGAATACTTTCTCTTAAATAACGGACGTAACGACACGGACACAAAATGATTTTTATATGTAGCAATAAGTACCTTTATATGTAACAACTGGTTTCTATATCTTGCTATGACATCAGCAGTTTGTCGATGATCACAGTCTTGCGATACAACTATTGGGAACTGTTCTTTACTAGGTCTTAACTTAATTAACTGGTTTAGACACCGCTCTACTGTAATACGATTACACGAAACGACCAAAATAGCTATTATTGGAGATCCATCGGGAAGCTTTTGCCTCAAAGGAGGAGTACTGCGCATTGCCTCGGTCTGTTGACAGATTGAAAAAATGGAGAACGTGAGACACAGGCTGAGATTAAATAAAGATTTACATTTCATAAACTATACAGTCAACAAAAGTAATTGAAACTGACAAAACAATTGAGTAAAATTGTCATATAGATTAATAACCACTTATATTACCGATGAAACAACATCTTGTGTCGGCCCCTGTTCGTCCTTAGCCTGCTCCCACTTATTTTTGTTTTCGATTTTTTGCAATAATATACTCTTATTCTTATTGACCTCATGTTTCTTATATTTATCTTTCTCCGTGTCATCTACTGGCAATTGGGCAGCGTTTAATCTATCGTATTCTTCTAAAAATGTGACAAGTCATATATTATTACATTTATCTATTCTCTCAAATGTGTAAAGAGTTTGTTAACATAAACTCTTTTTAATTGATCTTACTTTTGAGACGTTTGCTCTCATTGATTCCTTCCAGAAGTTCCTGGTTTATAATTATCTGCTGTTTCACTTGTTTCTCTAATCTGCTGATTTTATTTGATAGCTTATCTTTTTCCTTAAAGACAAGAATACGAATTATTGCAGCCTTAAAAATGTTACAATCTTTTGTTCGAGATCAAGATGTATAATAATGTGATCTAATAATACAAATAATACAAGTAACGTGATCTCTCACCTTATCCTGATCCTTGCCAACTGACTGTTGATCCAGAAATAAAAAGTACGTAGCCACAGCCCATAAGATGAGGGACCCAAAGATGATACTGACTGATCTATTCCGCATGACAAGACCAAGTGTCACCTTAACTGTAACATCGAGAGCGTACACTGCAAAACGCGTGACGAGGGTACGGCGAGGTGAGGCGAGAGCCGCGGTGAACAGAGCGAACGGATACTAACGGGGTTTCCACACGTCGCGGTGCACGTCAGTACATATTTACTACACATGGATTCCTAAACGTGTCGTCCAAATGTCGTTCCTTCTGCGGGGGAAATTGCAACGGCTCTGGTTAGGACGCATTAGTATCCCCTCGGGCGCACTGTCGGTGGCCGTGTATGTGTATGTGTGTGTGAGACGGCGGCGTGTTTTTAAGTACCGAGAGAGGCGTTTTACTTACGGGCGTCGCGATCATATCCCCGGTCCGTAGACCCTCGTAATCGCAAGTCATATGGAAGGGCCGTATCGCTGCGTATCGCTCGTATGAGTCATGGCAAGCGACGTCATTTACACATCGCACGTGGAGACGATGCAACCGGACTGGACTTACTGTCACACGGGGAGGCGAGGGAGTCGAGTTACTTCAACGGCGACGACGACGACGACGGTGCGGCGGTGCGCGAACCGCGCTGAAAGCAGATGTTCTCAGAAGCGGACGGCAGATACGTTTCTCAACGACGACGACGACGACGCATAAGACGGAATCCCGTCCGCCGCGGGACTCGACGAGATTCCACACCGCGGCCGCGGATCACTTACCATTATGACATGGGAAACGACACGCGTGTCCTTTCACACGCGGCGGCGGCCAAATAAAAGCCCTCCGGAGATGCTCGCCCGCGTTGTCCGTCGATCGAGCTAGGTACGCGCGAAGATGATCGCCGCGGCTCGTCCTCCGCGCGACGGAAGGCGAGCCGAGGAAGAAGCAGCTGGAAGATCCTGACGACAGTGACGATCGCGGTGCTCTCACACCACTGGCTGGTCTGGGACACAGCTGTCAGCGTATACGGAGATCCTTACCCTGCGAGCGAGATCATTCGCTGCCCGCCTGCCCTACCGTAGCGGCGGCGTTGTCACAAATTGATGATGACGGTCCGTCGATGATGAGGCGATCGGGGCGATATTGGCGATAATCGCGATTGTGCGTGGCAATCGCGTCAGCATTATTATATTCCATATCATTCGCCACTCTGATTGACCAATTTTCGCTGACGTAATAATTCGTGCACGGACACACGGAACGCGATATGTATCGCAACAGTGAATACACGCGGGACGGAGAGGGGAGTGTAAGATAAGAGAATACAATTATTGATATATTAAAATTGTAATTAATTATTACTAAATTCGTTTCACGATCGGGAGATGTCGAGAAAAATTCTGAAAGAGACGTCGATCAATTATTATAAATATTTCATTCTTCGCCGCGCTCCCGATATAACTTATCGACGGTTATCACGTAACTCGATCACGGAGTTCGAGTTGCCTCCGAGATTCACCATCGAGGGCGCCACGCATTACGTTTTCGTATATCATCGGCGGCCGCCGTCGGCGCGTCGCAGACGCAGGCCTGCGATTCGCGGTGCGTGTTGGTGCGTATCAAGTGCGTGTTGGATGTGCGTCCGCGCGGATCCGTTCGGTCGGCCGTTTTGGCGTCGAACGGTTTCACCGTCTTGAAAAAAAAATACTCCTGGAGTAGAACAGAGTTCCCCGGGGGTGAAAGGGGCAACGAGGAGGGTGAGGAAAGGGGAGGCGCGGCGCATCCCTCGCGAGAGTGCAAAAAGGGGGAAGAGAGAGAGAGAGAGAAAGAGGACGCGTGACGTGCGAGCCTCACGTCCGCTGCGTGATCGGCCACATGACATGAGAGCCGCGCACACCGACAATAATACAACTGCCGGGAGTGCCGGGACGGCGACGGCGACGGCGAGGACGACGGTGACGAGGGAGGGTGCGAGAGCGTGAAACGATGTACTGCACCGCGACGCTCGGGAGATGGTAACGGATATACATATATATATATATATACTCAAGTTCAAGTTCAAGCTTGTCAAAGCCTGGCGTTTACCTCGCTCTCTCCGCGGTAAAACGGCAGCGCGTCCCACCCCTCCACCCAGGAACTGACAGCCTCTTTTATTTTTCTGACAGCTTTTGCAGGAGGGACGCGGTGAGGGCCCTCAGCACCGGCGAGGTATCCACCGCGTTACGGCCGTTTTACTTCACCGTCCACCCCGACCTGTTCGGCCAGTATCCCACGCAGAGGGTAAGGATTGGCTTGAATGCGACAGTCACTCCTCTGGAATGGATGTTGTGCGACACGTTCGAGATAAGATCATATAGACGTCGTCGGGGGTAGCTTCGTAGGCTTGCTCTCCACTTTTTTCTTTTTTCTTTTTTTTTCGTAAAATGTATAAGATAAAACACGGTCGAACACACAAAGAGCGTGTCTACGCTATAGCTTTCTCGAGCATTTAGAAAGCTTTTCGAACTGCATTTGCGCACCGTGGAGAAAGGGACGGACGGGGAGAGATAACGGAGCTGCAAGTAGAGATGCAGTTTTAAAAGGAAAAGAATAATGCGGTGTGTTTGCGCGCGCGCGCGTGTTCGTTACATTTTTATATTTGTTTGCTTTCTCTTGTATACCGCGAATCACGCCTATCTCTCTCTTTCTTCAAGGGCATGCAAGCGGTGCACGTCGCGCGTGCCGCTGTCAAAGCGCCCCACAAAGCAATCCGGGTAGCGCAGCGTATAGTCATCGTGGCGTGATAGCGAGCACGAGCGAATGCGGTGAACGGCATTATTTTTAGACGTGAAAAACTCGCGTTGCCTCGTTCGCACGCGGTGAAATATACTTCAAGTGGGTAGCACCGCGATCTTTGGCCGCGCGCACGTGCGTGCACGTATGTATGTACAAGGCTGTGCAGTGCGCTCGTATGCCGGAATAAATTTTCTGCCGCCGTCGCCGCACAGTCAGATGTTTGCGTCGTTTTATCAATGAGATAATTGTTTGCGCGCAAGCAGGGCCGCATTGAGACTATCACGAAACGTATATGTACGGTCGGAAACGTGTAATGTGTGCCAGCCTTTTTCAGATTCGCTCGTCCGAGAAAGGAACGTAGAACAATCGCGGAGCGGACCGCAATTAAGAGAAGCGAAGCGGAACGTTTCTTCCTCTCTTTTTTTTTTCTCCCGAGAAGCTCGTTTTCTTGATTTGATATTTATTCAAGTATGTAGAAAAGGGGCTCGTTGATATTTAATTGTCGCGTGACATTTGCTTATCGGGAGAGAACGGATTGAATTGAGAACGAAATTATAACAGGATATCGTTTTTTTTCGATGTTGTAAAAAATGGAGTAATTAATCACAGTATTAAACGCGGCCCTGCGCCGCCGTGTGTTTGATTGATGCTTATGTTGATTATTACTTGATGAAGGTGTGCATGTAAATATTTTTAAGCGTGACAATTTAATTCAGGAAGAATCATATTAACCGCGAGAAGAGATGGAAAATACAAAAGAGCGTTGTGTATTACCGTTTCATTAAATACGAGACGAGAAGACAATGGAGTTTGTAGAGTTTTGATATAAAAGAATCGCGAAAATTCTGAAAACACGAATAATTATTATAATTCTTTTTTTAATTAGTTTTCCTCTTTACACGGAATATTCCTGACATTAAACTAAATTTTATCAACATTCTATTCTTGGACTGATTGTGAGATAAATAAGTATATGCATGAATAAATGCTTTCTTTTCGAGAATTGCAATCTTTTACTATGAAGTATAAGTATGGGTTAATAGAAACACGATTATTTCTCTCGTACACTGTTTCTCGAAGATAACTGATAAAGCCAATAAAAAGCTGATAACAATTATTTACTAAGGGAGATAAGAAGATTGATCAAAATCCACTCCTAGTAAAACTAGAAATAACATATGCATTTGAGGGATCATACGCTTATATTTGAAAATCAACGTTGCACATTCTATCGTCTATCGTTCTATCGTCTATTATTCTTATTATCGTTATTCTTATTCTTGGTATTTATTTGTGAGCAGTTATATATTCATTATCATATTACAATATCGGATAATGTTCGCATTTGCGGAAGATAGTTTGGCCAAACATTTTATGAACACTTTGCACAAATATATTATTTTCTTAGTTTTGCTTTGGATTGAGAGAGACACGGAAGCATTTTATATCTTTTCATAGTCATCTTTCATGAGCGAGGCCATGCTACATTATATAATCGTCTTTAATCAATGCAAATAATCTATTCGATTACTTGTCTATTATCTGTGTATTATTAACAATAATTTACTATTTACAGACGGTGAATGAAAACTCCCTGAAGCAATTAAGTTCAATCCTAGAAACACTGCAACAGAAGCAACCTATACGGCCGACCATTTTGCCCTTTTATCTGCGCTCGAAAGACGAGAAGGACGTGAAGGCCGGCAAATTCACGCTTGTCAAAATACAGTTGAAGGAGAAGGATCTGAGACAAGCGATACTTTCCATTTTGAAAACATGCGATCTACCCACGACGTTTGTCGACAAAATCGAGGAGCAGAAGCCGCCTGCAGTCGCGAAGCACAAGTCCAGATTTTGGCAGCGCGCGTATTCCGGAGAAAGGATGGACTTCTCGGAATTGGAGGACGATCCTATTTACGCGTCGATCATTATGAAACGCAAGATTAACGCAGAGCCAGATACGCTGAAGTAAATATAACATTATTGTGATATGCCTTAAAATATCAAGTATCGCTGTTACATTCCTACATGTGTTTCCGTTTAGAGCGTATCTCGACAAGCACATCAATGAGGTACACGTTAAATTGGAGGCATGTCGACCAGTGAGAGAGGAGGTGGAGAAGCTGGAGAGAGTACTGTGCAGCGAGCTGGGTCTGAAGGATATTATATGGGACTGCGGATGGAATATCGCCCATTACCGCGGCTGTTTGTTGGCCTTTCAAGCATTAGCCGAGCATCATCCGGAGTCGATGGAGGTGCTGAGGAATCGCACCCTCGTGTTTGCAAACGACACTGGCATCAGTTTGGAAGGCAACGTTATGCTAAATTCCGGGGAAGTCAGGCACAATTGGCTCGACGTAAGTTGAAAATGGATCAATTATCTCGTGATTATCGATGCTGCCAAAGTATTAAATACTCATGTACTCATGTGACTCGTTTTTCTTTTTTTTTTTTTTACAGCTGATAAAGAATGTAAGAAAACACGATGCTGTATTGTTGAAATTGCCGGCGTTTGAGAAGGCAGTGTCCCAAGTGCTCCTCGACATTAAAGTCGGTCGACGGTGCGTAATACATCATATTATTTGAGTTATGGTAAGGCTCAGGGTGCTCTATATGTGCAGGAAATTCATGCCTAAGGTAATGGTCGGCCAGTATGAGCAACAGCTGCGACAGCTCACGACTACGCTCTCCGATTACCGTGGCAAGCGAAAGTATCCGAGTTCTTGGCCGGCCAGTCTGTCGGCTTACGAAATTGTCATCGAAGCGTTAGTATCGCTGTATAAATAATCATTGACGATTTTAAATCTTATATAAATATTACGTAAATCCTATATAAATAAACTTTCCTATATAATCCTATATAAATAGACCTAACTCATAGTCGGATTTTAAAATCTCGTGCCAATGGCTCAACCGGTTTTTCTGCATCTTATAGCGAAGCAGGTCCCTTAATGTTGTCGCCGACCGGACAGTTCATCGTGCCATCGTCTTGTCCAAGCTTCCTCTTGGTGAATTTTATTACGGAGAACCTGGAGGAGGCCACGAAAAGACTATATCACTATAATAAGTAAGACATCTCAGATTATAGTTTTCAATTGAAAACTATATCAGTATAAATGTTAGATTATTACTAATTCAGTGCGCACTTGTAGCATAAAGCACGTGGAGCGAGAGCTTCATCGTAAGACCATCAAGGAACTGGGTTTGGCTGCTCTTAACAAGGACGACAGCATCACGCCGGATCTGATGATACAGTGCTGCGAACGGCTGCTTCTGCACAAGAAGGATCTAGCGCCGTCGCTCGAGGGCGTCATGCTCTGGGTTACTCATTACTACTCCGTCATGAGCGACGGCGTTCTTTGTGTGCCATGGGATTGGAGGTTCTAATCTTTCGATACGAAATGACGAAATATTGTTAACGTATTGATTGCTGTCAAGCCACTAGCGTGTAAGCGTAACCGCCAATAATCACGACAATGCAAATAACATTTTACAAGTCTCGAGATTTGCAGAATACGGACGATAGTAGCGGAGAATAGATGATTATCGCGTAAGATAAAACTATTAGACTACATTATAAGTACTCATACTCTGTTGAAATAGTGTATCATGTGTCGCACAGTTTGAATATTAATTTGCCGAAAAAAAAATTTGTATCGCCTGCGTTAATGTCGTTTCTAACTTTGCGAGAACAGCCAAAGATAGATTCCCCTGGAAACGGTTGTTCCAATATGTGATTTTTGTAAAAAAAAAAAAAGGATAAAGCAATCGGACAGACAAATGTGAATAGGACTATTGTAGATTCTTATTAAAATGATTACTAGTCTCGCGTCGCAAGTCTTAATTAGTTAATTAAGAGATTTGGTGCCACGTGCTGTAAACATTTGTAGACATATATATATATTTTTTTAATTCGACTCAATTGTAAATGGGCAGTCCTACTATTATGTCCAATCGAGGGTGAAATTAAATCCTATTTCGCAATAATTGACATTTATACACTTCTGAATATATGGGATATACATTTGATCTCCTTTATTCTTAAGATCATCGAAATCGAAATCGTTTTCTCTACTCCAAAATTTCCTCTTCTTGCTTCACTTCTTATAGTCTATGGGTGCTTATTATCAATTCAGTGACACATTGGTCGGCACAAGTATCGTTTTGTCTTTACTACTCACTAAATGTTAAGAAGGATGGAATGACGTTTGTGTCGCTAAATGAAAAGCACCCTATACACAGAGCACTCGAGTAAAAAATTATTTTTATCTACTTTGATAAGATATATGTCGTGTAAAAATAAAGTCATTAAAGAGAAGAACTTCGATCGAACTCGGATTACTTCGATCTGCAAAAGAATTCACAGCAAAATCGTGCGATTCTGTCGAGCACGCCGAGGAAACTCGGAAGAACGTTCACGCGAACAAATTCGGATTCGCGCGCCGCGAAGCCAGTGATGCGGAAATAACTGTATAATTTGTCGCAGGGACTTTCGCGGGCGGGACGGTCGTTCGCGCGCGAAGCCCGAAGGCAGTCGCGCGATCGTCGGCCGTTCCCGGCGGTTCCCGCGCAAACGAGCGGCCGCCGCCAAAATATCTGACTGTGCATGCGCGGCGCGCGACCGTTGTGGTTGCGCGGGCCGCTGGCTTCATTCGGCTCTCGGCGTTCAGCGCGTCCGCTGCGGTTCAGTGTTGGCGTGTCGGCGCGATCTCGTTGGCGCAGATCTTTCCCATCTACCTCGCGCTCAAGTCGCACTCTTCACCCCGTTCCTCTCAAAAGCACACGGTGCTCGACTTTTAGACAATGTCCGGACGAGGCAAAGGAGGTGAGTAAAAAGGAAGGAAAGGAGAGAAAAGAAGGAAGTAGCCGGGAAGAGGGGACACGTCTCACGTCGCCGGGCGATGGCGACGGTGACGACGACTGCGACACTCCTCGCGCGTGTCTTACATTCCAGGTAAGACCAAAGGAAAGGCGAAGACCCGCAGCAGCAGGGCCGGGCTGCAGTTCCCCGTGGGTAGGATCCACCGTCTCCTGAGGAAAGGCAATTACGCCGAGCGCGTCGGCGCCGGTGCGCCGGTCTACCTCGCCGCCGTGATGGAATATCTAGCCGCCGAAGTGCTGGAGTTGGCAGGAAACGCCGCCAGGGACAACAAAAAGACCAGGCAAGCCCTTCCTCAATTGTCCCGGCTGCTCGTTCTCCGCCCGGTCTGTCTCTCCTCTCTTTCTGTCCCTTTCTCTCTCTCACGCGCGCGCGCTTTCTCTCGCTCCGTCTCTCTCGCTGTCGCTGCGACTTCCTGTTTCTATCTCGTGTCTGCGTGTCGCTCGGTTTCCTTCGCACCCTCGGCTACAGGCGTAGTACGGAGGGAATATATAGATCCCCGCCCCGCGTTGACCGACTTGTTTTTAAGGAAATTATTTCTCGATTTCTCCCCCGCGTCGGAATGCGCCTCGTGCAACGCGACGTTGCGCCTCGTTCGTTCGTTTGTTTCAAAGAAATCTGTGTCGCATTTCATAATTTCTTGTTTTCTTGTTACAGCTTCGCTTTTGAATTTTTGCAAATTGTAATTGTCGAACGTTGTGTATGTTTTGCATTTTAACCTTGGCACAATACGGATTGTGTGATTTAGCTTATTCGAATAAACATTATAAATTAATAGATTGTTTTCCTCGTTGTCATGAAAACAAAGAGTAATTTTTAGATGCCGATAGCTAACACAAATATTAATCCCAACTTGCGACCTCGTAATATTTGCTACTGGGTTTTTATTTTATTTTATTTAATATCCTGTTCAAATTGTATAAATCCCCGTCTTTCACAGGATAATCCCTCGCCACTTGCAACTTGCCATCCGGAATGACGAGGAGCTGAACAAATTGTTGTCCGGAGTGACCATCGCTCAAGGTGGAGTACTGCCCAACATCCAAGCAGTCTTGCTGCCAAAGAAGACCGGCACCGGCGGCTCCGGCAAGGGCGACAAGGCGTCGCAAGAATATTAGAATTTATATTACACGTTTATAACTTTAATCGTACTCTAGAGACATGCCTTTTTTTTTCGTAAAAAGAAAAAGGAACGAGCGTCCCTCAATAAATCTGTGCGACAGGATTTACGTGATTTCTGATGATAAAAACTATGGAGATCGATAACGGACGTTTATACTGTCACTTTGATTTCCTTGTTACTCCATCATTTTCAAGTCTGCGAACGTTCTTTTTTCTCTTTCATTCTTTTTTTAAATTGACAACCACCTGCAAGCAAATCTTTTTGGAGTTAGATGACCACTACTTCGATTTATATTGCTAGATCCTGTCCTGGACACCGTTGAAAGTATAATTACCGTCTTGAAGTGTATTTAATAATTACGTTTTGGTTGAATATTACAGTGTTGAACGTGGTAATTCTAAATTCCTGTTTTAATTGTTTGATTATGCTGTGACGATTAATCAGTTAATTCTTGTGTGATGTATATTTATGATACAATTATGTTATTTAAATGCTTTCGTTTACAATGATATACATTTTCCTCGCACACACATTTCTCTTTTATTCTCTCTTTTTTTTACCTTTACTAGTTGGTTCAGTCTCTGTCATGTCCTATTGTATTAACAGTGACGATTTTAAAGATATATTAATGCTCGAATGTTTTTGTTGACTGTAATATTTAATGCAAAAATAAATAGCATTGCGTCCCTACGTGAAAGTTCAATTCGCAGGTGTGTACAATCCTCTTTTTGAACATACAAAAGTAAAACTTCGTGTTACAGAAAGACGTTGAGCTTTCGACGTTGCGCATTCCATTTGTTGTGAAACCATCTTTTGTACACATTTTTTATAATATATTAATAGTAGTAAATGAGTAGACCGAATGTGTTCATTGCGATTTTATTGTCTGCCATTATTAGTAAAAAAAAAAAAATGCGACTGCGTCGTATTTTATTATCACTTGGGAAATGTTGAACAATCCCGCCTCCGGATCCCGAATTCGAAATCGATGCCCGCTGAGCCTGTCGCCATCTCGCAGGCGCTCCGAGCGAGCCTCGGGCCTGCGTCGGGTGCGTTAGTAGCGCGTCGATTCGACGTGACATTTAACTTTTGAACGACGGTTTCCCTCGGGCAGAACGACTTTTTTACGGTGGTACATTCGCCGAGCGTGGCAGCGAGCAGCGCAAAATGTCGTCGGGCGTGATAGACATCCTCGTGGACATGGGTTTCAGCATGTCCAAGGCGTAAGTTCGTAGATAAACGTCGCACCGTGTCGCGGGCCTAACCTAACGGATCTCGACGGTTCTGTTGCAGGGAGAAGGCCCTGGCGATCACCGGTAACAAAGGCGTGGAGCCGGCGATGGAATGGTACGGGGGAGAGACGTCTCGCCGCTACGACCCACCCGGTCGCGTTCCTGGCGCTATCGATTTTTCGTCTTAATTGCAGGTTGCTGGCCCACTCGGACGAGGCGGAACTGGAGCCCGCCGTGGGCGAGAGCGCTCCGCAGATGCCTGTCACAGAGGACAACGTCGCTGGTGCCAGCAGTCAACCGGTGTCCACGACCGACTCGGCCAAGTCTATGAAGTGCGACGTGTATGTTGAATTGCAAGGATAAGATAGTTCTAAATGTGTCGAGTATTCGTGGGACGGATCACTGGACGTTTCGCTGGAGTACTTACATGTTTTTCTTTTTTCCAAAATTCCTGCCATTGCAGATGCGGAAAACTCTTCAACTCCAACCTGGAAGTTGAGTACCACGCCACAAAGTCCGGGCACGACAGATTTTCCGAGAGCACAGAGGAGAAGAAGCCACTCAGCGAAGAGGAGAAGCGGGAGCAGCTGAAGATGCTGGAGGAGAAGCTGAGGCAGAAGAGGAAAGAGAGGGAGGAGCAGGAAAAGAAGGATGCGTTCGAAAGGGAGAAGAATAGGATACGATCGGGAAAGGAGATGTCCGAAGCCAGGAAAAAGTGAGGGACCAAGTAAACGAGATCGATAATAGAGTGAGAAAGAGCGAGAGTGCGCAGATATGTATATATATATTTTTTTTGTTTACGCGTGTGGCAGGTTGGAAGAGCTGGAGATGCAGAAGCTCCTGGAGCAAAGAAAACGGGAGAAGGCGGAGGAGAAGGAGGCGAGGCAGAGAGTACGGGCGCAAATCGAGGCCGATAAAGCAGCGAGACGAGCTAAGGCGGCCGCCGAGAGCAATCAGCCGGTTAATCCGCCTGCGGCCTCGTTACCCGCGATACCTTCGTCCGCGTCTGCGCATCACAGGAAGGACTATACCGAAACCAGGCTTCAGGTATTCGACACGAAATACGTACGAAATACGAAGAGTATGATGGACCTCCATGTGTTCTTCAAACGATAACATTTCAGCTTAGGCTCACCAATGGACAAACCTTGACCCAAAGCTTTGGAAGCAAGGAACAATTATCTGCGGTGAGACTGTTTATTGAAATGAATAGGACAGACGGTAATGGTCCTTTCCAGTTGATGACCACGTTTCCCAAGAAAGTGTTTACGGACGAGGATTACGATACACCATTGGACGTGTTAGGTATGCTGTACATTGATCATTTATTTTTATATACATTGTCATATATACATGGTGCGTCCCACAAAAGCAATGAGATTAATTTTGGAAAAATCGTTTTATTGAAAATACACTTGGTATTTTTCAAATTAGAATCCTTTTTTCCAGAACGATTTTTTCAGAATTTGTCTCATTACTTTTGGAACCATATATACATATAACTTGTGATAATTTCTATTATCGTTTATTATTGGTAAACAAGTGCAATTCTATCAATTAATTGTACAATTTTATCGATTGTAACGTGATAAAATTATTTAACATATTTAGGATATAAAGACTTTTCCCGAAGATGGCACAACGTATGTTCCTGTTTCATTTGCAGGCCTAGTACCCTCGGCAGTCGTGATCGTTCAGAAGAAGGTGGAATGATGTAGCCAGTAACGCCCTAATTTGTAAGCAAAAATACTAATGTATATTATCATACAGATTAATTATAAGATATTCACTCTAATATAATGATATTCTTTATTAACGGTTATGAAACTCGTGTATATATGATACACATATACGAATTTCTTTTTGATTTCTGAAATCGATTTCAGAAGTCTGTTTTTTCTCAACGAAGAATATTTATTGCATTTAAAGAAATAATATTGCGATTAAAAATTTAAATAATGAAAAGTTTGGAGATTTTTACATTATTAATACTTATAATATTTAACTTCTTTGTTTCTTTTTCGCGTTTCTTTGAGCCGTACTTAGAGACATTAAACTAGAAATTATGATAACGTCTCGATCTGAACTATATTTTTTTATCGCGATTAATTATTTTGAAATGGATCCGTATGTCGTATATGTCGCTGCATTGATAGAAGATATGACACAAGTAAAAAAATAACTATTTTAAGATAACGAAAGAAATTTATCGAAAGGCTCGATCTTAAAGTCTTTAAAATGCTAATTTTTTACTCGTATCCCTTTTGTCGTATCAACGTAACGATGTGATACGATACTATTTAGTTTCATTTAGTTTTAACACATATGCATATACATAATGATTTTAATACTAACGTTATATCTGTGTCGCGTAATAAGTTGGTACGCGACTAGGATATATTATTGGTTTGGATTTATCACAGTTTGTAGGGAAATTGTATATGCCATCACAGTCTACCAATTGTAACGTCTTGTCAAAACAAATCCTTATCTCGATCACATATGATTCGTTCTTTTTCTGAAAACAAAAAAAAAGGTAAAGTTAATAGATTAGATTAAATACATTTGTAGTAAAAATTATAATATTTATTTATTTTTTTTTATATCTACGGCTTTCTTTTTTATTCGAAAAAAAGGATTTAACTGACATTTATCTATATTGAAATAATTTTTCAACTTACCCCGTTAACGCACATTATTTGTGCCCTTTTATTTAATACCTTTTGAATTCCCATGAATATATCTTGTACCATATATTTATTGCCTGGCAAAATATTTGCTTTTGAAAGCACGTCAATCATATTGTACTTATCGATTAATTTTAGACCTTCTTGGAAGTATTTAAATTCAGTGTTTAAAGCATTTATTTCGATTGCACAAGTGCCATGTTTATTCCACTCGTGTCTCCAGAACGAATAGGGTTTAGATCCTTTATGAATATCGATCCAGTTTTCTTTTAAATTACTTTCTATGGGCGCTATAGCGCTTGGATTAAATGGTAACGCGCTGTTACAAAACTGCGGGCCTATCGTGTTGTATTTCGTGGGCCAAATTCCGTGGATAGTCCACTCGTCGCGTTTAGGTAACGAGCAACTGTGCGTATCGTTTGGCCGCGACTTGTTTTCCCATACGAAACAAGCTGTCAACGGCCATGTCTGAGTAAATATCAGGACATCAAATTCATTAGACGTTTGTTTTCTTGTCGGGAACCTGTTATTGAAGTTATTTCTTCTTGAGGACCAATCTAAGCTGAATGAAACAAAAATCGTACTCTTTAAATTACAATTTACACCATTCGTAGAATGCCATTTGAATCGTTAGAATTATATTTAGCAATTGAAAGTCATCTGTGTTAATTTAGATCTTGTGCGTTAGAAAAATTTAATGGATCAATTGAAACGTTCACGTGATCTCTTGATTGAGATAAAGAATACAGCCAAAGATTAGAGCTTATCTCGTGTGATTTAATTAATTAAAGTAATTAAAAATTACACACATGTGTACTGATTTAATTAATTAAAATAATTAAAAATTACACATATGTGCGTTGTATTCATAAAGAAAAACGGTAATATTGGTCGGTAGAATTTTCCTTTAAAGGAGCGAGTAAAGAGTGAATAATGCTTGTTGACATCTGCGTGTACACGTGTACAGGTGTGCCAACGCTAATATTTTATCTTCGATTATCAGCGTGTTGATGAAAGAAATTATATAATATTTACACACAATATTTCGAACAACTCATTTCGATTGTCTTCATCACGGATATACATTATTTTACTCACCCATACGTGACGCATAGTAGATAAAGTAAGACAATACACGACGCTATGCTATACTTGCACATCCTGCAGAGTAGCGAGAAACCGTTCCATGCGAAGAGAGAGAGTGGAGACTGACCCGAGGGAACAACGGAATTAAAGGCACTTAATGCTCCCACTACCATTTTCAGCAGCTACCACCACCATCCTGACCGTTCTTTACAATATCTGTTCGCAGCAGATGGTATTTTCTACCTGTTCTTGCTGGTTCGAGCGACCACATTATGAAAGCGCACCTATGTATTTCTATTGCCACGCGTATACTTCTAATAAAGCGTACTAATAATTTCTTATTACATAAACTATTATTATAATTATTTCTAATTTTTGAGAAATAATTAATGCTAATTCAAAGAGATTATACATAATATTACGGATATTGATTATGTTTTATTTAAAATTTTAATGAATTTATCTTGAATAATGTGAGAGTGTGAGTGACCATTTACGGGAATTAATACCGAGTACGTCGTCGTAATCTAAGACTGCATCATAATCTATGACTCGGATCATCTAACATCGTTTATCTATATTTATCGCCTAACGTCTTATTGTTCTATGACGCGTGTCCAATGATAAATAGCAGCTTGTCAGCTGTATCAAAGCTAGATGCTTAGAAAAATTCCTCTAAACTTGTAATTGTATATGTATATTATTAATATAGAGATAGTGACTAGTGACGGTACTAGCTATCTCATTTTAAAATTATTCATAGCGAAATTATTTTTTATATACTTAAGATAAATCGGTATTATAACGCGAACTCTGTGTATTTTATGCAAAATCAAATTTAATTATTTTAACAGCAACATAATTTTTAAAAATAAAAATTAACTTATTACATTGTTTTTTTTTATAAAAATTAATTTTATTTTAAAATTTATCTTGAGACGATACTTATGCAATATTCTAGCTTTGATGGTATGGTGATAGAAATAAAAGAACATATATTTTTCTTTTATTTAGCAAAAATCGTACAATGAAATTTTTATTTTATTTTTACAAATTATTTTCTTTTCTTTTTTTTTTATATATAACTAATATCACGTTCGGCATATCGTTATATCGACACAATTTTGTAATTTCGCAAATACAATTCAAATTCATATTCGTGAACAGAATACGTTCTATTTACTTAGAGAGCACCGAGCGACGCGTATGATGCCGACACATCATGGTACGAACGAAAATGGAACTAATAATAGAAATAATTATCAAATATTGAAATTTGTCTTGATGAATGTTCTGATAAACTGGAGCATCTGGAAAGTTTTGCTTGGTTGCACCCTTTGCCTCAGTAAATAATATAAAATCCCTTTGGAAATAAATAAGATAATGAAGAGGGCTGATATGTCCAACCAGAAGTTCGGAGGTTTCTCCGCACCTGAAACGCAGACGAATTTGCTTAAACATTTCCGACATTTATAGATTGTAACACGAGATACAAAGCTTTCGGAAAATCGTTAGGACGGACATGTATATACGCGCGATGTATACAAGCGCAAATGATTATCGGAACGGCCGGATCGATTACGTGACCTTCGAGAAGTCGAAGTCAATAGGCAATCATTCCTACCTATGATTCGCAAGACTTCCTTGGGCGAACTGAAATGACAGTAAGTCTCCTCCGCTGGGCAAGGTAGTCTTTGTCTACCGTAACCGTACATGGCCGTTGTGAGAGCCTCCAGTCCGTATCGGATGTAACTCATGTACATGGGAATCGACCGGTAGAGCGGCAGAGGCCTCGAGTCACCGAAATCTTGCACCGCGATTAGCATTAACGGGCAAGTCAACGCGGGTCCGGTGAATACACTATTCTGAAAAATGGAAATACAAATTATTTTCGAAGTCTTGGAAAAAAACTTTTCCTTCCGCGACGCTGTCTTGCACGTACCACGACATTAAATATACTGGCAATATTGTGTCCTATACTCTCCGCGATGAAGGCACATACAAAGCAAGTGCAGAAGAACATGGAGCTTCTGTGCAATTCCAGCGGTTGCCCCGTGATCAAGTAGACCATGCTGAGATACAAAACTGCGAAAAATATCTGGGAAAGAGTCAAGAATGATTTTTACGACGTTTGAATAGAGATGAATAGATCGGGACTCAAGTTTCAATGTAAAAGATTTAACGTAAAATAATCTTGCTAATGTAAAATAATCCTGCTAAGAAATTTAATTCCTTCCCGTAAAATTCCTTTCCATAAAAATTATAACTATAACAAAACTATAAAGAAATCAAAATCTCTGCAGCGCGATGATTTTTCTCGAAGAGACTAAGACTTGATTCGGATACTATAGCGCTGAAGAAATCGAAGAAAAAGAATCTTTTTGCTATGTAAATATTTATACTGTATAAAGCCCCATCTACATAAGTCGCAAATGCAAAACGCAAACGCAAACGCGGACGTTTCTCTCTTTCTTTTCTTTTATTTTTTGACGTTTCGTTCTTTTTTTTTCTCCGCGTTTGCGTTTGCGTTGTGCGTTTGCGACTTATGTAGATGGGGCTTAAGAGATGAGAGACCAACCTGTACAGGTATATTGACTACCGTTAAGGCCCAATAATATGCGCTAAGGTTGTACCATCTGTTGAAGTGTTCCCGTTTCATCATTCGGATTTCCGAAGGAACTGCAATGAGAAGATAATTAATAACAAGATAAAATATGATTTTGAGCTGATTTTTCTCAAATAATAATTATAAAAATAAAAATTCTATAAAAATAATGGCGCTTTTGGATTATTTATATGTTTTTACGAAGATTTGCATTTTTAAGAATACATTTAATTTTTGAATATAATTTCAGCGATTCAAACAAATATCATGAAATGTCGATACTTCAAGTGTATGACGAACGCGCTTCTTTATAGTGAATATAACATCAATACGTAAAGTTTTGATCAGACAGAAAATTGATTTTTATTTTCTTATGCACTGTTCCAAATTTTTCTACGCGCAGAAAAGAATTTTTCCTTACAATGCAGCAGCACTGGTAGCATGGGTATATACAGAAAAACGATCACGCATGCAAAGCAAAAACCGAAATTAAAGAGGGCCTTGGAGCCATCGTTGCCCATGTTGAAAAATAATCCGCCAATCACTATCCCCAGAAAGATGTGTAGTACTATCTTCAGGTACATGTGACTCTGTGAACATACAGAGAAATCTCTGCTTATTTTTGCGCGCGATCCATTTTCGGAGAGATCTTCTGGCCAAATATCTGATAACATTGTTTAGCTGTGTTAGAGACTATATATTTTTTCTTTCCAAGTATCGTTTCTTGTGTTTGAGGATCTCTTGTGGTACAAATCACTTGTGATAGTGCTATCACTTAATTTATTGATTTCAGTAAGCAAAATGGTAGTAGAATAAGAATAATTTATTTCCTTTAGCACATTTAAAGCCTGAAAGGGGACTTGATTTACAAAACAAACTTAACCATATATAGTTACATTTACCATTATCTTCTATATTTACATTTTACACTTATTTAACATTTACATTTGATACATTTTTCTTGATTGCACTATTTATTTTATTATTATACCTACAAATACTTCTTATACCTTAACTTAAGCAAAATGGTAGTAATATACTAATAGTTAACAGATTTGATTAAAATATTGCAATCAAATTGATATCAAATGCGTTTACGTTAAGTTCGTGTTCAATAATATAAAAATAAACCGGTTTTAAACGTTTCCCTGATGGGCAAATTTTAGTCCTAAAGTGTTTCTTTATAACGAACGCTTTGAAAAATTTGTTTCTGATTTGAATATTTGAATTAATCTAAAATACGTTGATCTTACTCTGTTTCGATATAGCTGCAGTATCATTCTCTTCACTAGCGTGCCGAATTGATCAATCCACGAGATTTTCGGGTTCTTTTTGTCGAGCTCGAATTCGCTTTTTGATCGCAAAATCGGAAGTAGCGGTAGCTTCGTGTTTACGCATGTGATCATCCGGTCGATCAAATCAAAACCGTATTCACCCGATGAGATCTCTATTACTGAAACGAATATTCATTGTTAATATACTTTTATTAATGTAATCATTTTTTATCGAAATCGAACATATTACGTATAAATTCTTAACTAATGAATATTTATAACTTATGTCAATTAAATTATAAATTATTAATTTGTTATTTTCATAATTCTATTAGTATTACTTATGAAAAGAAATCTCGAAGGTCTACATTACATTTTGTAGCCTACATTACTCAATGCCGCATATAAATTATATGCATGCTATAAATAATATTTCTTAACAATAATTAACATAGACGACTAGTTTTAGTCGGACCTTCAGATGTCCATCGCTATCTCAGCGTATCGCGAAGCAAAAAAACGTGATCGCACAGACGGTATTAAATCTCTCGTGAGATCACGTATACAACTTACTGAAGTCCGCCGGATTGTAATGTTTCGGGCATTCTAGGCCTATGTTTCGCAAGAACGGCACTATGTTGCTCACGGTGTCTCTGTAAACGCATTGTCCGTTGGCCATGACATAGACGTGATCGAATTTCTTAAATGCGCTCGCACTGGGCGTGTGCACCGAGCACACGATGGTGCGTCCGAAGTGCGCCAGCCTCTGGAGAACGTCGACGCACTGGAGGGAGGAGAGCTCGTCCAGTCCGCTGGAAAAAGAGGGATCTCCTTTTAAAGCTTACACCGCGATAGAGCACGTCTCTCTCTATCTCGACAGCAGTGAGCGGCATTTCCGCGCGAAAATCCTTCGTCGCTAAAAGCGTACAATTAATACTATACGATCAACAAAGTTCGAACGAAATGCGCGTTAAAACATTTGCCGCGAGCAAATGTTTGATCTATTGGACGTTTTATACTGTCAAGTATTTTTCTTTTACATACACATCCGTTTGTTTATGCGTTTTTGTTCCGTCATCTGGCGTGTCGTAAAACCGCGAGAAAGAGAATTGACGATTTCTGGTATTTGTAATTTTTAATATGACCTTTATATTTTTCTATTGAAGCACTGAGCTTTTTTAAATTTTACACCGAGAGAGAGAAAAAAAGGGATGAAAAACAAGAAATTTATGCATTGTATTTTGCTGCAGTTTTACTTTACGATGAATGATTGGTCTCTTGAGATCAACCTTTTTATCTCCTCTTTTTTAAATGCATATATCGCCCGAGGAATTAATTAAGGCAACAGAATGATTCTTGAGGCATTGTAAAATTCCTGGTGACGAATAGTTATGTGAATAGCAATATAAAAAATTGATAGTAACGTCAAAATTCAGCGAATAATATTGCGATTTTAGAAATGAATGATGAATTTAGAATATACTAACGATTCTCTCCTGCATTGTCAGATTCTTAAAGATTTGCGTTTTTGAAGTACCGAAATTGTGACTTTACATTTTGCAGTTGTACAGTGATTTTTTTATGTATGTAATTATTGTTTAAAACAAAAGCTAAAAAATTATTTCTATTTATTACACTCGCATGGTGATAAATAGGAGATGAATCCTCAATGGATAGCAAGATAAAAATGTAGGAGGCAACGTATATGATTCACTCGTTTCTCTGATTCATTATACATATATATACATATATACATATATATATATATATATATAAAATAAATACATACACACACACACCTGCGCTATATTTGTGTGTGTGTGTGGTAATCTTTTTATAAATTAAAATTAATTGAATTCTGAAGTAGATATTACATAATTGAAAAATTAAGACAACTAATTTTAATCGGCACGAATAATACTTACGTGGTCGGTTCGTCGAGAAAAATAACGGGCGGATTATTTATGAGCTCTAGTGCGATTGCCAGCCTCTTTCTTTCACCACCGGAGAGTTTGTTTGTGAGTGTATCTCGCGTTCCGGTAAATCTAAGTGTGCTTAGAATTTCATCTATCTGAAATCAGATGTTAATATTTTTGCGATATGCATCTTCGTGATTTATCTGACATATGATATACATAAAAAATACGCGGTAAAGAAGAAGCTTTTTCTATTCTCGTGTAATATACCTATTTAATTATTGGACGCAATTTGCTCGTGATTTTCGCAAGGCGAAAAAAAAACTTAGAATATTCATGAGTAATTAAATGTTGCCTTTTTATAGGTTTGGTGTGTAAAGAATTTATTGTTTTTTTCCATTCTTGATCACGATTTTATTTCTTTACGCGTTGTGGAAAATTTTATATTTAATAATATCGCTAACATCGTATGTTTTGCTAATAATATTAACACTTAAAATGAGATTTTTTAAGACAAATTGTTGAGAAATTAAATTATAGTATTAGTAATATAAAATTATGTCAAAATCTTAATGGCAAAGAGAGAGAGAGAGAGAAAGAAAAACATGATTATAGCGCATGATTTGATTTACATAAAGATATTATTTAATTTTAAAGCAATTATATACTCATTAATAAATATTTAATCGACAGATATTTAAAAGAAAGAAATTTAAACAGTTTGTTTTAAAATTAATCGAAGTGTTATTTATCTTATGAAATACTTGTAAATTTTGTTATGTATGTCTCGTCTTCGAACCATTTTCACCATTTTATTACTGTATAGAAAAGGAAAAAAAATTTCATATTTTTATGGCGCGCCGAACTACTTTATCACTTGTCACTTCTAATTACATAATAGTTTGATATATTACATTAATTTTCTTAATTCTTTGTAACTTAAAACTCTTTGGTGTCACGTTATTCTTACAAGTTTATCTTCCGGTATACGCTATATTTCGTTATAGCAAAAGGCCGAGATCTCTACTTACTGCGATGCGTTTTTGAGATTTTGATTTCCTTCTGCCCAGCTTTAAGTCGGCGGCGAAGGACATCGCCTCGAAAACCGTGAGATTCGGTTGTATGAGATCGTCTTGCATGATGTAACACGACATCTTCTTGAACTCGTGCATGTCCCGCAGTTGTCCATTGATACTTATCGAGCCACCTACGTCCGTGCATCTGTAACGGAGAAACTTTGTTTCGCTTTCTGTGTAGAAAACGAGAAGGAAAAAACAACGCATTTTATGACGCATTGAAAAATTGTCGCCTTGCCGCTTCCACAATAGGAGCTTGACGTAACCCGTTGTGTTAATTTTAATGTCATTGATTATTCAATCGATATGTCACCGGTCGATATTCCGAGGTCAGCGGTCGTTGGAGTTTGCCACAAAGTTTTATTCGATAGATATGACATTTATCGACAAAACTTTACATGCATACACAGATAATTTTTTTTCATCAGCAGAAATAAATCTGCGATAAAATCTTGGAAACGTACAAAATGATGTTATAATTTTCGAAGATAGTATCATGATTCTCAAGAACCAATTACAAGATATGTATTCTGATCTTTTTTTTGTTGTTGTTTGCACTGATGATTTTCAAGAGATAATCTTATGCAACGGAATAATTAAAGCACTACGCAGTTAGAAACCGATTATTTATTTTTCTGAATAATCGATCTTTTTTATAGCATCTTTAGGCTAGCAGTGAGTTTGAATAAGTCTAGTCAATTCAACTTGTTCGGCGATTAAAAGGAGAATCATTAGAATTTGCGATTATTTAATATAAATTTAAATATTGACCTGTATCCCGCGAGGATGTTAAGTAGCGTTGATTTCCCGGCACCGGAAGGACCTAGAATCGCCGTCAGCTCGCCCGACTTGAATTGCCCGCTGAGTCCCCTCAGAATCATCTTCGATTCTGCAAATTTAACAAAAGAATAAAAGATTAAGCGTTATTTTACACTTGAATGACAATAACTTCTATTGCGATTGAAGTATCACTTTTCATCATTACGTAAAACGTGTCGAATGAAGATGATTGAAAAACGAAACTTTTAGTAGGAGCATCGACTATAAAAGTTAATTGACAGTAGAGTTCATTAGTAACAGTAGGTAATGAATATAGGTAATGAAACTGCTTGTCATTGCTAAAACTTTTATGTAGCATATGAAATAAACGAGAAAAAAGGGACCTTTGCGCATCTCCTTGAGCTCATTCACGATACCATTCGTATCACTCGATTACAAAGAACGTAATTCTCTTCTGCTCTTTATCATAGTTGTATCGGAACTCTTTGTCAAGGACAAACTCTGAATAATTCAAACGCGCTAAATGAGAATTGAAGATTGCGTTTGTGATGTGAAAAATGATCGATTGATATTTAATAGATATACTTCGATGTAAATGTTTCATATTATTCGTAGAAGTTGCTTGAATCACAGACTCGATTACGTTGTATATTTAATTAAAATCCGTGTAAATTGACGGTCTTGCTTGTTATTGACATTATCGGAACAATTGGGTTACGCATGAGTAAGAACACGATATTACCATATATAATTCTCAATTGTCATCCTCTTATCGTCTCCTCCTATCGCTATTCCCCTTCGCAGACACACGCGATTTTAATTTGTGCGCAATAATGATTAAATTACGGAAAAAAGTGGAGAAGTATTATCGTATATATATGACATATTATCGTCTTGCAACAATTTGTAATTATTAGATAGAAATGAAATAATTTGTAATTAATAAAAATGATACGATGATTACGTATATTGAACGGAATTAGCTAGGAATGTTTTACTTCAGATAAATGTGCTACTCTAGCTCCTGTTAACAGCATTTAATTTGTCTCACTTATAATATATGTTATTTTACTCGCGAGATTTCTCTATTAAACAGTTGAAATAACGATAATAACGATACCGCTAGGCGCTCATTATTTTTTGTGCCGCGTGCATGCTCCTGCGCGCGGATTTCCCGGCGCGTGTGCTTCATCTCCGCAAGGAGTTATACGAGCATCAAACGTGGCTACATTATATACGGCAGCTGACCGTGAATTATGCACGAATTGCGATTTTTACAAGACGGTTATTCTTCTTTGGTTGTCACAAGCTGTCATATTTAACTGACATCGCATTAGTATCCATTTGTCATTCTCTCGCCATACATACGAAGAAAAGGTGGCAATCATAGCTCCCCGCGTTTTCTTCGCTTCTAACGCGCCGTGCGAAAACGTGAGTCACGCTTCAATCGTTATTCTTTGTAGAATCACAAAGAAGGTTTCTTGACCTGAGACACAGTACCGATTTATGCATCGTCAACCGTAAGTGAAACGATGCTCACCGAGATTGTACAAAATGTGTACACGCGCGTTCCGCGTTATCGCTATGCTTAAAAAAAAATTCTTCAAATTTTTTTCTCTTTCTTTGCTCGTATCTTTTTTCTACGATTAGAGTACGTAATTTTCGACGAATATTCTACCGCATATCTACCGCACACGACACGAGCAATGATATGCGATGAGACGCGATGGAACGAAGCGATAATCGATCGGGTTTGATTTGTGCACGTGCTGTATAATAAACGAGAAAGAAGATGTCCATGAATCATTGCCACGCAATTGCGTGAAAAAATTATGGCTATGAGCGTGTAACATATTTCTCAACGAGCGCGATACTGCGCTACATTTCATCTGCACTGAATTATTGTTAACGTGACGCGTGTTTGTCGATGATACTGCGAACAGAAGTATTCTATTCAGCAAAAGAAAAAAAATCATTAAAGATGAAGTTTTGCACAGAGAGAGAGAGAGAGAGAGAGAGAAGCGATATAATTACAGATTCATTAAATTTTTCCGTAGTACGTGGGAAAATTGGATAATCTCGGCATAATTAATTTTTTTTTTACAGTAATTGCTTAAAATCTATGTATCTATAATGGTAGATTAGGTAACACCATTTTTATTAGGCTCTGATTGCCGAAGTCTTACGTGTGTATTAAATTGGTGAGAATACGTATGCGAAATTTGCAACAAAGAAATAACTTGCTGTTTTAAAAATACTCTTTTTTTATTTGTAAGTGTCGGTCCACAATGAGGATTTTAAGCTCTAAGCAGTAAGAAATAGACCATCGTAGTCGAATATGAGGAGAATAATCGATTGTATAATTGGTCAATATTTTACGGTGTAAGGCTTAAAGTCCTTATTGTGGGCTGACACTAAAGAACGATTAGTATATTAAAGGATTTATTGTGTGATTTATGCAGATTATTCTTCTTCGGCTTTGAGAACTCACTCAATGAGATGATTAAAAGATTGTTATTGACGTTGATTTATTAGTTATGTAGATGCGTTATCGAGCAATTAACATAACGCATTTTACCGGCACTTTAATATTTGTATGTTATCTTCAATTTTATAATAATATAATATTTATAATAATATAATATGTTATCGTCAGTGTGATTTTAATCGAATTGATAACAAAAATATAATAGATTCATGAGAAGAATTATTATTATGTATTCATGATTATCTGGAATCTATGAATATTGAGCAATTTCTTTGCATTAAATGTAAATGTATCTTAAATGACTAATATTTCAGTATTCAACAGTGATTTTATTAACAGTGTTTAAATTTTTATTTTATTTAATTTTTTTTTATTTTTGCGAAAAAGCTATTATTAGAGATATGCAAAAAAAATATTTTCAACGACGTAATCAATCAGAATGTGTCACTAATTGTAAATTATAAAAAACTTAAAACAGATATACGCATTGTTATTTACGTTTTTTTTTAATAATTACAATATTGTTTGCGTTTTTACAGAACATTACAGAATCATAGTGCGATCATACTACTACATATGTAAATATATTGTTTAAATGGCGTGTTCTAAATACGACGAAAATGAAAAATTCATTTTATACAGGAAGAACAATATTCGTGACTTTTGATCGGAATTTCAAGATAACGTTAATCTTTTTTACAAAAAAATGTCAATATGACATGATAAAATATTATCTTTGAAACCTGATGTGTTGGAATCTTTTTGAATGGGTTTTTCAACATTTAAAAACTATGAAAAATACCTAGTCCATTCTAAGTAATTTTTTCTGTAAACTAGTGTTATTGTAGTATTTTTCCTTTTAATTTAGCTACCATGGCAACTGCATTTTCCGCGCGACTTTATTTTTTCTTGATATGACGTTATTGAGATACGAAGTTAATTATATAGTAATAAATTAGTACGATATTTATACGGTATTTAAATTTGTAATTTTTATCTTGCTGCATTGTAATATACAGGGTGTCCTATTTTAACTTATTGTTAACCAAAATATTTTGAAAAAAATGTTTTAAATGAAAATTGTAGAATTTGAAAAGGGCCAGATGTATTAATAAAATTATCTTACTATTTCTTATATTCCATCTTATCATATTTATAGAAAATGATTATTGATGACTACTATGTTTTTACAAAATGATTAATATTATAATTATTTTTAAATTTGTATAATTTGTTTATCTTTCTTGCTGTAGCTGCATAATAATGTTGATATTATTTCTTTTCAATTTTTTAATTATTGGGTGGTACTACTTTCTTTTTTATATAATTTTTTGTAATCACGATTAATAGCTAAATCATTAATAAAATCATTAATACAATTTCGATCCACGTAACAATAAACAAACGAATTAAGAGGAAATTTGGAGATTTGTAAATTTCTAAATTTAACAAATTGGCAGCAGATTTCAAGTGAAGGTTAGCGTATCAGTGAGAGAAACGTCGGAAATATTACACCCGTATAGAAAGTGAGATGTTGCAAATTATAATCGCATTACGAATCTTCATTTCAGACTGCGAGAAATTTCACGACGTTTCACCGTTCGCGTTGGGAATTATGCGGAAATTCTTAGGAAGGAAGTTACCGTAAAGTTCGCGATATTTTCACGACCGAATCCGTCGCATACGATGTGTGTGTGTGTGTGTGTGTGTGTGTGATTTTTAGCGTCAAACAGATTCCTCGCGATTCTTTCGCGTCTCAAATTTGTACAATTTAAACACTGCTACAGGCACAATTGTGCGATATTAATATATCTTTGTCACTGAAATAACCGATTCGATTATCTGTTCGACGGACGCGAAATAATCGTTCGCTCATCAGCTGTGGCATTGCCAACGATTGTTCTCACGTGACATCTAATTACACGTTGAGAGAGAGAGAGAGAGAGAGAGAGAGAGAGAGAGAGAGAGAGAGAGGCCATTGCCTTAAGATACAATCCGGCATTCGAGAGCACTGTCGATGCAGAGCGGTAGTGCTTATTCATTATCATTGAAGTACACACCCGTACTATGTTACTTCACGTGTATGCCCTGCCGCGCCGTTACACGCCTCGTTGCCCGAAGATGTTCACGTTACATCGTATGCAAGAATATTCGCATGGAGCGATCTTGACATAAATTGAACCTCGCGTAAACACGTGCGGTGTAGCAGCAAGTAGGGTCAGACAGCGAGAGAATCAATCGGCATCCGCGGAAAAGGGGCGGCGACGAAGTGCCTAGGTATAAACTTTACCACGCTCTTCCTGATCTTCGGTAAGAATTGAAGTTTGAATGCAAGGGAATCGAATGGGAAAAATGGAAATTTACATTCTTCGCTCGAGCGAGCGGTGTCGGCCAAACCACGTAGTATATACGTGCCTCGACTTTGTGATTGATTTTAATCCCTCCCCCTCCAAGTCGATCTTTCATTATAAATCTGCGTAGTTATTTTCTCGGTATTTCAACCTGGACTGGAATATTTTTTATTATAATAACAAAAATTTTGTACTTATTACAAAGAGCATGAAGAAAAAATGTACACGTAAAAAGGCTAGGCATCAATAAAGCTGCTATGAAAGAAAATATAAAGAAATAACAATTTAATCGCAAGGTGGACAGAACATAGAAAAAAAACAGTGAATTTAAATATGCAAATCATAGTATCAAACGTGAAAACAAAAGAACGTAAACTGAAACCAAAAAGGATATAAAGAAAACTGGTTGAATCTATAATAAAATTCGATAAAATGACGGAGACAAATAAAACAGAGGAGAAAGATTTTATATAAAAGAATAACGCAATTATTTGATTGTGATTTGGGAAAATATGGCTAAGAACGATATATTATTATACTGTTATCTTTCCTGTTATCTTTTTTCGGATTTAAAATTTTTGTTATCGTAAATTAAATTTGATTGCTTTCAGAAATATTTATACAATCGCACACACCGATGTGATAATCCTTAATTATTAATAACTAAAGTTCATCTTTCTTTGAAATTAAGTTTTATGAATGTGATGATGTGATCTTTAGTAAACGAACGAAATGCGTAATGCTATTGGACTAATGTAATTGGAAATATCAAGGTTATCAGGTGCTTTTTTTGCGTGAATAGAGATAAACTATTATACGACGACTTAATAGATTGTTTATATTGCCAGAAGTAACTTTTTGCATTAATAGCATATGTTTTAAAGCTGATTCTGCACAATCTATGTCTCACAAAAATTAAGTTGAACTGGTTATTTTCAACATCAATACGCAGGAAATAAATATTGATTTGATATATATACACAGAAAGAACGATTTTGTTGAAAGATTGGGAAATGTTGCTAAAAACAGATCTGAAAATAATTTTTTGTTGAATCATCAAAATAATTTTTTGGAATGTTAAAACTGACAAGCATTGCTAAAACGTTTTGATATTCTAGTAATCATTTTGACTTTTGCACAAAATTATTTTGATAATTGAATAAAAATTATTTTCAGATCTAGATTCAGCAAAATTATTCTTTCCGTGTATGAATTTAATATTGAATCAATACTGAATTCGATTTAATATTGAATTCGAAAAATCACTATCCTCAATTCAATTGGGCTGTCTTGCATCTTTAAATATTTATGATTTCGAACGCAGATAAAATTTATATGGTCTGCAAATTATATCAAGATATAAATTTGATTATAAACACGTATCTCATTACGATATCACACAAAATCGTAAAGACTATAAAATATAAAAAAATATAAAATAGTGCAATTAACTCGCTACTTAGCATGACTCAAACATTTCTGATGAAGTAATATAAAAATAAAAACACGATAATTAGAATATTTTCAAAACAAATACATCATGTGTAATCTGACGAAGTCTAACAGAAATAGAACGAGAGAGAGAGAGAGAGAGAGAGAGAGAGAGAGAGAGAGAGAGAGGTATAACGTTAATACCTAGAACAGACTGAAAAAACCGTATCCTAATAATAATTTTAAATGATTGAAAAAAAGAACTCACATTTGTGTATCTAAACTTCTTTAAACTTTATATATCTTTCCATATGTATAAGCTTATACTTTATACATCTCTTCATTATTCATACTTTTTTTTGTAAAAATCTACGAAGTTTGTTAAGAAAACTCACGCATACGTAAGCGTGAGTAAGCAATAACATTTCTTATGCAATACATGACCTGAAATACGTTTGCAATGTAAATTACGATTATCTATTTCATTTCGTTGAGGATGCTAGTTTGTTCGCCCGCTGGCGTCTATATTGAAATGACTTTTATTCTCTGGCGACCTTCGAAATCAATCTATCACCGTTTATAATTAAGCCAATGTGATAATCCTTACTGCATATATCTACTTTTTTTTTAACAGTGACATTGATCGAATTATGAATAATTCCAAATGGAAACGCCTTACCACTTACGCCTTACATCATGGCACTCGTAGAATCTAACATCACACAATATCAAAGATCCAAGATTTTCAGATGTCTGTTTACTTTCAGAAGGAATATTTTGTTAAATAAGTTAAACTTGTGATCGAGCTTGAGTTGATACTTTTTAAAAAAATTACTTTTATTCCTAACGTAATATTCTTGTTGATGTTTTGCAAGTACCTCAAAATTCTATTTTTGCGCGTGATTTAAACGACTCGATAGGTCGGTTTATATTATCGGAATAAATGATCGGTCACAATTAATAATTAAAATATTGCAAATAAGTGCCGATATATATTTGCTATGAATAGCTAAAATGAAATGCAATCTCTTCCCCCTAGCTCCTCCATGTAGAACGTAAAAACTTTTGCATAATAAGTTGGAAATTGCGCTGTACTTTGTGCAGACAATCTATCATCAATTGTTAGGCCTTGATCTATAATTACAGTTTAATTTTAATACTATGTAACACTTGCTATGTAATGGTTGCGCATATCTCTCGTACACTTCGTATTATCGAAAACAAAAACATAAAATTAAATTAGTCGGCATCTTATCATTAAGGATTATACAATTGACTCGAAGATTCGCACGAGTTGCACAGCATAATTTCAAGTAATTGCTAGTTTACCGGAAATTATACAACAAGTTAACAATAATTTTGCAGTTGTATAATAAAAAATATTGCATGCCGGAAATGTCTTTTTGGTTTATATATATATATCAAAAAGACATCTCATTCTAAAAAAATCTATATATATAATATATATAATATATATATATATATATATATATATATAATAAATATAAATAAATAAATAAATAAATAA